AGTAGTATAGGGTTTTCTCAAGTAGGGCCACAGGAGCACGATGGGACGGTTGAGCTTAATCTGTGGGTTTTGTGTGAAATGGCTTCAAATTAATCTGATGCTGGAATGTATTACTTGACAGTATCTTTTTGTAAAATTAATATCAAGTGCAAATTCATGTGCTAATTTCGGGTGTTCTTGTCTGAAAACCTACTTAAGGATTTTATCCACGAAAGCGTAATCGGGAACAATATTACACAAATATCTTGGAGCGTTATCGTAGACCATTCTATGAAAATGTTTCAGTTTCTGTACACGTCTCCTTTCATTCATGGGTATAAACTTAGTTTCAGCGTACAATTTGTTGTGACTTGTACCTTTTGTTGTCCCACATTTTGATCTAAAAGCATCAAGTTACAATTTTACGAGACCTGTTTTCTGAACAAATGTACAGTTATTCCACATATAACTACAATCATATCAAATACTAAAGCTTTATACCAAATTTGGAGAGTTTCTCTTTGATAAACGCTATTTAAAACTCCTCAAACAACTAATCATGTGTGCGCTCCTTTCTACAAGCCAGCTATCTGAATGCTACAGCAATGCTTCCATGGAAGCGGGTGCCTTTTTACAACACTATGCATTTACAGACTGTTTTCACTTTTTAATATCCACACCCACACCTACCTACATTAAATACTGCAGATGATGCAACGGCTCTCTAAGACCATCAGTTTTATATAATTACTTTTGAGGTTTCTATCAAGACATTGGTTGTCGGTTTTCTATCCCCGAGTACACAACACCTTCATACTTAATGTATCAAATAAAACAAAACTGATGTGAATGGATAAGAACAATGCTCATCCAAACTCGAGTGTTCAGAACTCGGGATTAGTGTGTGATCAGTGTTCAAAGGTAAGCACTCGAACTTAGTATGTTTGGACAAGGAGAGAATGCTTTCACAAACACTGAGCGATAGGTCCGCTTTTCGATCGTGAACAAATAGATTAATCAACTCTCAGGCTCTATGATGGCTATTCTATGTGATGCATGTAAAGATGTGTTGATAGGTGATTTCCTCTCAACTGACATGGTATATATGGACGGCTGTATTCGACTGACATCATTCACTCCGAGTATTCATTGATCCATACCAGTGCATATAGTGTCAACTGAACCTTAGAAATGGCTGACTTTGATCTGTCGTATACCCCTGCCTGCTGGATGATGATATTTTCACGTTTGAGACATGCGATCGTAGTGAAGTTCAAATACTAGGTATGACATTCTATTCATAATGTAACTGATATTTCTGTTTCAAAGAGGAATCCACCGTCTCCACTCTTTCACCGTAAATTCTGAATTTAACTTATGAACTCTCATTATTTTTATCTTTCAGATACAACACAAGAGTCTGACATCACAGGTGGCGTATCCGAGTCTGAGTTCCAGAATTCCCTCAACGCCCTTTTCAAGACCATTGTTGAAGAACACTGCGACGATGAATCGGATAATACATCAGTGTCCACAGATTTGGATAGAACTCCTCCCTTGACGTCTCTCCTTGCAGTTTGCGACAAAGAAACAGAAATACACACGCCCTGTTCTCCCCCACCATCATTCTTTCACAGAAATGGCCCAGTCGACACCCCACGCACCAGTCCATCGCCCACAGAATCGTCTGTTGCAGTCAACCCATTGCTGGACAATGACCTCCGAGATGTCTTGGATTCCGAGTGCAAGCAGACCACATTTCCTAGTACGCTCTTTCAGTCCATGTTGACAGAAAACAGCATACCACCAACAATCCGAGAGTGCGAACTGCTGAAAAGGTACAGTGTAAATAGGTATTCCTAACATGTATCAGTGATCGTTAACATGAGTGATCTATAAATGATGAAATAATACCCTGCAAAGATATAGATTAATAATCCTTCTTGTCATTTTGTTTGTAGATTCCGCCTCCTGGAAAAGTCCAATGCAGACCAGGTGCGAGAGCTTTCTACGTTGTTTCGTTTCCATGCATCCAGTATTGAGATGAGGAGGATGGACGTAATGGCAGATACCAGCCTGACGTCCCATTACCGTGACTGGCTCAGTCATCATTTTGACAGGCAGATACATCAGGTAAGATTCCTATCAATATTCCACCCTAAAACTAAATATGACAAGGAGACATCACATGATAGCATTCATACATGATATAGCGATCTGTCTAACCTTAGTCGATTTTTTTATTCTTGTAGGTGATTGACCGAGTGGAGAAAAGTCTCAGTCTTCTGGAAGAGAAAGAGAAGAAAAGTGTGGAGAATCAGACGAACTTCCTCGTCCCGGGAGTCAAGCGGAGACCACCATTGTCCAAGCGAGCCGTACAGCTCATGGAGGGTTGGTACCAGTCCAATCTGCATCATCCCTATCCTTCTGCCATAGTATGTGAATCTCTGGCAGTCGCCGGTAACGTCACCGTCGATCAAGTCAAGAAGTGGTTCGGTAACAAACGCAACAGGAGCAGCAACACCAGAACAAGATCGGAAATCGCCAAGAGGAAATTCCGTAATCGCCATGGGATTCAGGAATATGATATCCTCAGGGCTCTTGAGTGTGGCTACTAACTCTTCAGACACTTATGTATGTTTACCCACGTACTGTATCTGGTGCAAAATAGTGCTATGTATGTTCTGTTTGAGTTGTATATTGTGTATTCATTATGCCAGTTGTAGCATAGACTTGAAGTATTTTTGAATGAAGCGACAGAGTGCTTATTTGTTATGTTTGTACAATAAATAATAAACATATGTCACATCACAATTGGCTTGTTCTTGATATACCCATGCAACAACGTGACTACACAGCAGCCGAATGATCATATCCATCTGACCTTCACTATTTCAAGCCAAGCATTTTGCCTCAATCTTCCCTCGAATAATGCCAACAAATCACATTCCAAAACCAATTGGTATGTTTATGTAGCATCCATCGTACAAATCATGACACTTAGCTTGATCCAATACATTTCTTCTTGGTGTGCATAATATGATATCCAAGTCACGAATGCGAAGGAAATATGGCATAGAAAATGTAGCTCCGTATAAAATACAGCATTTACATGCTCATTCACATGTTCATTTACAACGTCACAATACAATATCACCAGACAATGCCAAGTAGACGGGCAAAGAAAACATTGTATTAATGCCTGTAAAATGGAAGATTACCGATGTAACTTTGACTCTCCAAAGCATTAAGCTTTAAGATATAATTTTCCTTGCACACATTAAATGTTCCCGTTTCCATAATCAGAGTGGCAACATGGATTGTACGATTTTCGTTTCACTTCATTTGGTCAGACTCTTTAACATACGCTATAACGATCATCTGTACAGCACAGATTGTTATAAACCGATACTGGCTTATCACAATGCCGTTCCAATGCAAAGACATGAAAATGTTTTGAATCATTTGCTTACATGAGATGGCAATTCAATACCACTACTTAAGCAATAATAAAATCACTATATTACAAGTAATTTACAAGACAATATTGGGTCTATGAAGGGCATTCAGAAGTGAATATATAGCTGTCTGTTCCTAACTGTTTCATTCACCTGATGAAGAAGTAAGAATATACTTCGAAACGTCGTGACCCTTCACAATAAAGAAGTTGACATCCATAAAAGTCTTGCCTTTAAGACAATATTGCTTAACTAAATCGATCAGTTTCTAAGATGAATTTATGAAGAGAATGAATTATTTCTATATTTTCTTGTACAGATAGCTGCTCTTATATCATATTATCTGTATAATAACGCATGTTGTTTCTAATAATGGTGTACTTTGAACACACAAATAAGTAGTAAAGGGTTTTCTCAAGTAGGGCCACAGGAGCACGATGGGACGGTTGAGCTTAATCTGTGGGTTTTGTGTGAAATGGCTTCAAATTAATCTGATGCTGGAATGTATTACTTGACAGTATCTTTTGTAAAATTAATATCAAGTGCAAATTCATGTGCTAATTTCGGGTGTTCTTGTCTGAAAACCTATTTAAGGATTTTATCCACGAAAGCGTAATCGGGAACAATATTACACAAATATCTTGGAGCGTTATCGTAGACCATTCTATGAAAATGTTTCAGTTTCTGTACACGTCTCCTTTCATTCATGGGTATAAACTTAGTTTCAGCGTACAATTTGTTGTGACTTGTACCTTTTGTTGTCCCACATTTTGATCTAAAAGCATCAAGTTACAATTTTACGAGACCTGTTTTCTGAACAAATGTACAGTTATTCCACATATAACTACAATGATATCAAATACTAAAGCTTTATACCAAATTTGAGAGTTTCTCTTTGATAAACGCTATTTAAAACTCCTCAAACAACTAATCATGTGTGCGCTCCTTTCTACAAGCCAGCTATCTGAATGCTACAGCAATGCTTCCATGGAAGCGGGTGCCTTTACAACACTATGCATTTACAGACTGTTTTCACTTTTGATATCCACACCCACACCTACCTACATTAAATAATTGCAGATGATGCAACGACTCTCTAAGACCATCAGTTTTATATAATTACTTTTGAGGTTTCTATCAAGACATTGGTTGTCGGTTTTCTATCCCCGAGTACACAACACCTTCATACTTAATGTATCAAATAAAACAAAACTGATGTGAATGGATAAGAACAATGCTCATCCAAACTCGAGTGTTCAGAACTCGGGATTAGTGTGTGATCAGTGTTCAAAGGTAAGCACTCGAACTTAGTATGTTTGGACAAGGAGAGAATGCTTTCACAAACACTGAGCGATAGGTCCGCTTTTCGATCGTGAACAAATAGATTAATCAACTCTCAGGCTCTATGATGGCTATTCTATGTGATGCATGTAAAGATGTGTTGATAGGTGATTTCCTCTCAACTGACATGGTATATATGGACGGCTGTATTCGACTGACATCATTCACTCCGAGTATTCATTGATCCATACCAGTGCATATAGTGTCAACTGAACCTTAGAAATGGCTGACTTGGATCTGTCGTATACTCCCTGCCTGCTGGATGATGATATTTTCACGTTTGAGACATGCGATCGTAGTGAAGTTCAAATACTAGGTATGACATTCTATTCATAATGTAACTGATATTTCTGTTTCAAAGAGGAATCCACCGTCTCCACTCTTTCACCGTAAATTCTGAATTTAACTTATGAACTCTCATTATTTTTGTCTTTCAGATACAACACAAGAGTCTGATATCACAGGTGGCGTATCCGAGTCTGAGTTCCAGAATTCCCTCAACGCCCTTTTCAAGACCATTGTTGAAGAACACTGCGACGATGAATCGGATAATACATCAGTGTCCACAGATTTGGATAGAACTCCTCCCTTGACGTCTCTCCTTGCAGTTTGCGACAAAGAAACAGAAATACACACGCCCTGTTCTCCCCCCACCATCATTCTTTCACAGAAATGGCCCAGTCGACACCCCACGCACCAGTCCATCGCCCACAGAATCGTCTGTTGCAGTCAACCCATTGCTGGACAATGACCTCCGAGATGTCTTGGATTCCGAGTGCAAGCAGACCACATTTCCTAGTACGCTCTTTCAGTCCATGTTGACAGAAAACAGCATACCACCAACAATCCGAGAGTGCGAACTGCTGAAAAGGTACAGTGTAAATAGGTATTCCTAACATGTATCAGTGATCGTTAACATGAGTGATCTATAAATGATGAAATAATACCCTGCAAAGATATAGATTAATAATCCTTCTTGTCATTTTGTTTGTAGATTCCGCCTCCTGAAAAGTCCAATGCAGACCAGGTGCGAGAGCTTTCTACGTTGTTTCGTTTCCATGCATCCAGTATTGAGATGAGGAGGATGGACGTAATGGCAGATACCAGCCTGACGTCCCATTACCGTGACTGGCTCAGTCATCACTTTGACAGGCAGATACATCAGGTAAGATTCCTATCAATATTCCACCCTAAAACTAAATATGACAAGGAGACATCACATGATAGCATTCATACATGATATAGCGATCTGTCTAACCTTAGTCGATTTTTTTATTCTTGTAGGTGATTGACCGAGTGGAGAAAAGTCTCAGTCTTCTGGAAGAGAAAGAGAAGAAAAGTGTGGAGAATCAGACGAACTTCCTCGTCCCGGGAGTCAAGCGGAGACCACCATTGTCCAAGCGAGCCGTACAGCTCATGGAGGGTTGGTACCAGTCCAATCTGCATCATCCCTATCCTTCTGCCATAGTATGTGAATCTCTTGCAGTCGCCGGTAACGTCACCGTCGATCAAGTCAAGAAGTGGTTCGGTAACAAACGCAACAGGAGCAGCAACACCAGAACAAGATCGGAAATCGCCAAGAGGAAATTCCGTAATCGCCATGGGATTCAGGAATATGATATCCTCAGGGCTCTTGAGTGTGGCTACTAACTCTTCAGACACTTATGTATGTTTACCCACGTACTGTATCTGGTGCAAAATAGTGCTATGTATGTTTGCTTGAGTTGTATATTGTGTATTCATTATGCCAGTTGTAGCATAGACTTGAAGTATTTTTTGAATGAAGCGACAGAGTGCTTATTTGTTATGTTTGTACAATAAATAATAAACATATGTCACATCACAATTGGCTTGTTCTTGATATACCCATGCAACAACGTGACTACACAGCAGCCGAATGATCATATCCATCTGACCTTCACTATTTCAAGCCAAGCATTTTGCCTCAATCTTCCCTCGAATAATGGCAACAAATCACATTCCAAAAACCAATTGGTATGTTTATGTAGCATCCATCGTACAAATCATGACACTTAGCTTGATCCAATACATTTCTTCTTGGTGTGCATAATATGATATCCAAGTCACGAATGCGAAGGAAATATGGCATAGAAAATGTAGCTCCGTATAAAATACAGCATTTACATGCTCATTCACATGTTCATTTACAACGTCACAATACAATATCACCTGACAATGCCAAGTAGACGGGGAAAGAAAACATTGTATTAATGCCTGTAAAATGGAAGATTACCGATGTCTCCAAAGCATTAAGCTTTAAGATATCATTTTCCTTGTACCCGTTTCAGAGTGGTAACATGGATTACACGATTTTCGTTTCACTTCATTTGGTCAGACTCTTCAACACACACTATAACGATCATCTGTACAGCACAGATTGTTATAAACCGATACTGGCTTATCACAATGCCGTTCCAATGCAAAGACATGAAAATGTTTTGAATCATTTGCTTACATGAGATGGCAATTCAATACCACTACTTAAGCAATAATAAAATCACTATATTACAAGTAATGCCAGTGTGTTTTTCACCAAAGGATTAGAAGGTATTCGTGGTAGTTAATGGAGACGAAGTGCTCTTGTACCAACTGTTTTTTTACCAAAGGTTAAGAAGGTATTGGTGGTAGTTTGGAATGTCTTAAATGGCGACTAAGAATTGGTGTTCTTTTTACCAAATGTTCAAAAGGGATGATATGTATTGGGGATTTTGCCTTAGCGAAAGAATCATGAAGAGGTTGTCTGACAGAAAATGTCTTTCCATAGGTTAATCATCATGTGGCCATGACAGGTATATGTTTGAAATCTCTTTATGGTTATTAGTTATTACATAATAAAACATGTGAAACGTAATGGTGATGCATTAGTCAAAACACATTCACCATTCCGCTGAAATATATTCTTCATGGTTTCTCCAAATCACTCGGGTGATACTATTCCATCTTACTCTCCAGCCCTTTATGAAAACAATATACAACTAACAAACATGTACCTGGCTTACTTTGGCTCCCTGAGGAACAGGTCTAAAGGACCAAACGACAAAAGGGCCAAAACAGGAAAAGTCATCAATATCTCAACCAGTTGTTATGGTCCTCCAACATTGTAGAGTAGCTTTCTTGTAACATCTGACACAATCAATATCGCAGGCAGCATCCTGCCCATCAATTTCAAGCTATCAGAACTATCTCAGTCTTGGCCATCTGGCATGTGTCGACAAACCTGACATTTTCTTTGTCCTTGTTGATATTTCTACAGGTCAAATTTCATGGTGTGATGGGGTTCAACTACCTACTACAGTCAAATCCTGATGAGTCGAATGCCGGTGTCTCGAATATTATGCATAACTCGAAATACCTGTCGGTCCCGACCATTCCCTGTTATAGCAATCTTGTATACATAAGCCAAAGTCAGTCAATGAGAAGTTGATTGGTGTAGCAAACTGATCCAATTAACAAACCAGCGCGACTCACACCTTTCCGCCATTGACAGGTGAGTTCAAAAGGCAGATTAGTGATTTTACGGAAATCACTGTCTGTGCTAATCAGACTGGAACTGATAAGGTGACCCTATTAGTGATAGGGAAATCATTAGATAAACAAATGCTTAGGCGGAGGAATAAGGACTGGATCATCTTTTTTTCTACCCTCATAGACATACCTATGTCTCGAATACATTGATAAGTCGAATTTATTACTTGGTCCCCAGCGATTCGACTCATCGGGGATTTGACTGTATTCCATTAATGATAAACAACAAAGGACAGAACTGAAGTAATCTCATTTATTTTGCACTTCTCATATGACAAGGATAAGTATTGTACACACAAATGGAAGGTAAACCATCATACATTATCATCTAGTCAGCAGAGTTCAGAATAAAACATGTTTTACTGAGCAACATGGTACATATGTAACATGTAGTATGAGGATAATATACAGATGTACTATCAACACATGCAGTATCTACACATACTGATGGGAATCACAACATTCTTGTAGGTGTTAACCAAACCAGTCATACCTGGGTAGTACCACTAAAGACTTTACACAGAATGATTTCATATTCTGACCAGACATGTTAACTGTCATAAACAATGTGTTTCAGATGCTAGGACTCTCCATGCTACAGAACTGAAGATGACTGCATTTGCTAATGGGGTTCCTATGATAAACCTGACGGTGAAATGTAAACAAGAAAGGATATGCTTGTAGATGACTTGATAAAAACAAGGTGAACAAATACAAAATATCTTTTATAAATTCCATGTACAAAAGTAATGTAAATTGTTGGTAAAACTTCAATGAAAAATTAAAAGAAACAAAATATAAAAAAGCTACTCTTAGATCTTCACAAAATAAAATTAACAGAGGTGGACTTTCATATCACCATCCAATGAATATTCATAACTGTACACATTTCCTCCATACATTTTAGTGTGAATATGCAAATTTAGCAACCTAGATGAAAGGAATTAAGGTCTACATCATCAAGACAAACTCATATTACATTTGAATTTACACAATGACCCCGGACTTAGAACTAAATATATCTCTTGGAAAGAACAAACACCATATATTGGATGATAAAACACCAAGATAAATAAATAAATTATGGTGATGAAGTAAAACTTGTAACAAGTAGTCCTATGTAAACATACTTATTCATGAACCATGTTCCATACATCAGAAAATCAATTAACCAAATATATTCACTTTCAAGTTTCGATTCTGTAAAGTTCAACTTATACAAAAATATGTTTTTATTTCTATCTGTAAAATGAAACAGAAATTTGAATATGACAATGTACCAGATGCAACTCTAGTAAAAATACATGAGTATCTACAAAATGTTAAATATACACATCCATCTGCATTGTCTTTTGTACAGATTGCTAAATTGAAAGATGTCATGGATTAAAAGTTATTTCTTTCACAAACAGTATATACAATGCATAAGCTAACCGACTAGGACAGCACAACTTGAGCCTTGTAGGTCTACACAATAGAACATGCTGGGTATTGAGAATACCAAGTAAATACATTACTACATTACTAGGTGTAGAGCATTACATTGTGGTTTCGAGGCTGATTATTCATGACAGGGTGAGGTTAGGGTTGGAGAAACCTGAGGGTTATCTAAAAAGAATATATTCTTGGTGGGAGTTATTGACAAAACAGTCCAACAGCTTCAATTAACTCCATGGAAGAAAGGCTCACCTGTAACACCTACTTGCATTTAAATGCTTTTAATATGTATGGGAACTACAGTTATTGAACACTTATTGTCATTGCATGGCATTAATTGCCAAAAAATTCAACCAAAATATTTACGATCGCATGAATTACATCTAAGAGTAGTTGGTTTAATGCTGCTTTCAATAAACATTTCAAATATATCACAGCATGTCAGATAAAAGTGGCAAGAAAGCCTAAAGTGATGCAAGCCCAGGGCCCCATTCCTCAAAGCGATCGTAGCACTACGACTGTCGTAAGTCTATGATGAAGTATGGGAGTTACGATCATCTTAGCGCTATGATCGTTTTGAGGAACGGGGCCTTGGATGTGAATCATCCCACCTTGACAAACCCACACATACAGGTAAGGTGCAAATATACTCTTACAAAAAGTAGGGGAACCTGAACTTTCAATTTGGATAGGACGTCTAAGCACTAACAATTTTTTCAAAGACAGACATCTTATGAACGTACACCACCATTTCATTCTATCACCACCCTAAACACAACGCATGGGATGTACATGCACAACGCAGTAGCCCGATACACGTGCATGGGGTGTCATTCTTGATTTTGACAGTTTTCAAGATGGTTGATAAATCACGGAAGAGCATTAATATTGACAATGATCTTGCATCACACAGTTGTTAGTGTTTGTTTCTTGCTGTTTTTATGTTTGAAAATGAAAATTGTACACATGCAAATTTCACGTCATATACCAATCATCTTTCAAGAGCGATTACTGTACAAACAACTAAGGTCATAAGGAAGTGCAAGTGGTGATGCACTCTCAAAACATTCATTATTATCATATCAACATTGATTGACATCGATATACATCCCAACTTTTTCAATCGTAAATTAATAATAAAGTTCCCCTAATTTTTTTAAGAGCATATATGATTAGGCAAGTCAGTGATCATGAGATTCCAGCATGGTTAAGGTTACTTCTAAAAATAGAGTTATTTCCCTTGTAATGACTGAGTGTATTGGTTTTAAAGCTGCATTGAAAAGTAATTCTGTTACCTGGGGTACATCCAACCATGCAAGCTTACTGAGGGAGGAAACGATGAAGTGTCACAGGCTGAAATGCGAAACCCTGAAACAGTGAGTTTAGTTTTACACCACACTCAGCAATATTTCAGCTATATGGCGGCGGTCTGTAAATAATCAAGTCTGGACCAGACAATCCAGTGATCAACAGCATGAGCATCGATCTACGCAATTGGGATACGATGACATGTGTCAACCAAGTCAGCGATCCCATTAGTCGCCTCTTACGTCAAGCATGGGTTGCTGAAGATCAATTCTAACCCGGATCTTTACGGGTCAAAATCCTGAAACAGGTATGGACCGTTGACACAAGGGTTAAAGTTATGGTATATTTGGGATTCACAA